GCCGGCCCCCCCCCCTCCTCCAGCCCGCGCTGCAGCGAACAGCTCACGCGCCACAAAGCGGGGAGAGGGGGCGGGATTAACCGTCACTTTGTGCCCTGGCCACTTGTGCCCCGCCCCGCCCTTCTCCCCAGCGGTAGCCCCGTGTTACTCGCGGCCACCCCGCCTCTCTGCCACGGGCCTGCTCTGAGTGTGGGGCACACCTGGCCCCCCAGCGTGCCGCACACCAGTCCCGCTGCCTCGCAGCCCACGCCCCTGCATGGACAACACCTGCACCACACCAGCCCTGCGGCCCTGACATAGCACAGACACAATCGTCCTTACCCCATAGCGTGCTGCCATGTCCCCACCACCATGTTTAACACAGCCAACACAGAGATTGGGCCACATAGACTCATAGGCTACGTCTAGACTGGCCCCTAATTCCGGAAAAGTGATGCAAAGCAGGTAAGTCAGAATAGGGAAATCCGCGGGGGATTTAAATATCCCCGCGGGATTTAAATAAACATGTCCGCCGCTTTTTTTCCGGCTTGGGGAAAAGCCGGAAAAAAGTGTCTAGACTGGTGCGATCCTCCGGAATAGAGTCCTTTTCCAGAGGATCTCTTATTCCTACTTTCAGAGATCCTCAGGAAAAGGGCTTTATTCCGGAGGATCGGGCCAGTCTAGATGCTTTTTTCCGGCTTTTCCCCAAGCCGGAAAAAAAGCAGCGGACATGTTTATTTAAATCCCGCGGGGGATATTTAAATCCCCCGCGGATTTCCCTATTCTGACTTGCCTGCTTTGCATGCCTCTTCCGGAGAAGGGGCCAGTCTAGACGTAGCCATAGGCTTTAAGGTCAAAAGGGACCTTTATGATAATCTAGTCTGACCCCCTGCACAGTGCAGGCCACAGACTCTCACCCACCCCCTCCTAGAATAATCCTCTCACCTATATCTCAGATATTGAAGCCTTCAAATAGTTTGAAGACCCCAAGATGCAGAGAATCCTCCAGCTGTGATCTGTACCCCATGCTACAGAGGAAGGCGAAAAACCTCCAGGGCCTCTGCCAGTCTACCCTGGAGGAAAATTCCTTCCTGACCCCAAATATGGTGATCAGCTAAACCCTGAGCATGTGGGCAAGACTCACCAGCCAGAAAACCAGAAAGACAGAAAACCCAGAAAACCCTCAGGGCTGACATGGGCATGACACACAGAGACACCCAACCCCCAATGTCTGACAAAGTAATACTGTTGGCAATTAATGCTTCTGACACACCAAGCAGAGCAGTCAACCCCTTTTCCACCAGTATGTGTAACACACCTGTCATGCTCCTCACATCCACATTTATGATTCGCCTAATAGACTGTCTACCCTATAGCTACTACACATATAACACATCTAACATAATAACTGTCCTGACCCATATCCCCAAAAATGAACACACTAGACATCCTTTCCCATCACATGGCACACCTAAGGCATCAACTGCCTTTTGTCCGTATGCATGCTACATTCCCACTAGGGCCAACCTATACTCCCAACATGTTGTCTCAGGCCCATTCATACAAATGTAACATCCGTATCCTTTTATCACGTGTAATACATCCAATACATACTGCCCTTCATTCCCTCACAGGTGTGACATGTCCAAAACGTTATCTGTCCCATGCTGTCTCACATGTGAAACATCAAATGCACTGCACTACATACACTTAGCCGGCCACTCATGTCTAACATCTAACACACTATCAAATCCAAATAACATTCCTATGAATCTACTTCTGGACACCTTTGCATGTGACATAGCTAGATGGCATGTGACATAGCTACCCTTCATCACCACACACCTGATATGCCAAATGTACTGCTCTTTGCTCCCATGTCACATTCGCAACCTCTCAGCCTGCATATATAATACATATGAACCTCCATAATTCAGAAACACCCATGGTACAGACCCTGCCAAGTGGAGGAGTAAGCAGTTCTGTGTGCCCAGCTGGGGAACTGCAGCACAGTGACACACTTCCCTTGAGGCTTTTACCCACTAAATGTGGAGCCACATGTGCCCCCAGGAGTGGGGCACCAAGTAAGCATTCCACTGCCATCCCCCTCTATCCCAGATCCTTCAGTGCCCTCCCTGGCCTCATAAATTCTTTAATCCATCAGATTCTGTTTTCCAGGGTTGCCAGATTAAAGAGATTCAAGTGTATTCTCAACCTGTGTCTTCCTAGGTATACCAAATCACTGACTTGCACCACCGAAAACGTGACACACTTAACCTGCCATCTCTAGGACTCAAAAATTAGTCATACCTATCTCAGAGCCTTGCCCCCAAATGTGTGATACACCAGCCATGGATGTAACACATGGCTGTTACACACCCAGCCTGCTTCTCTCCACCTCCCAAATATGTGACAGACCCATCCCAATCAAATGCCCTACCCTTCTAAATGAATGACTGATGCTTGAAAAACCCAGCCTACCTACCATCAGCTCATATGACACACCCATTCCAGCTGAGAATCCTTCAGCTGCAACAATCACCTGGTTATGGGTGTGTCATACATGCTCCATAAACAAGACCCAAGTATTATTGGGCCTGATGGGCCTATATTCTACAGCAGCAACCAGGAGAGATGTGTAGGGGGAGGGGCAGGAAGGATCATGTCCCCCTGCAATGCCATAGAGGGAGGGATAAAGGGACAGCAGTTGGTGGGGATAGAGTCTCTGCACTTCTGACCATGTTGCCTGGATGCTGTGCTCTCCCAAGAAATCTCTGGCACTGCCTGGCCTATTGCAGGGAAAGAACCTCCCTCCCCTGTCAGGAGGAGGGAATAGGATAGTGCAGTAGCACTCTCCTGAGTCCCAGGCACCTCCAGCCACACTGCCTGGGGCACTACGTGATGCCTGGTGCAGAGCAGCTGGACAGATAGACAACTCTCTGGCCCAGGTAACGGGATGGGGAAGGGACAGAATGGGGAGAGTGTGTGGGTCCCAAATAGGGGTGGCACCAGGGATGCCACTGAGGGGGGGAGGCAAAGGGAGCAGTTTCCCTGCAGCCTAGCAATTTAAAAAACCCCAGGACTCTGGGCTGCTGCCTCCACTACCATGAGAGGAGCAGCAGTTGGTCCAGGCAGCAATGAGGGCTGGCTAGGGGAGGCGTAGCATGGTCTGGGCAGCACCGAGGGCTGGCTGCTCCAGCCTAAGTGCAGAGGCTAAAAATTGATGCTCATGTTTTAATTCAAGGACCTGAGCATCAACTGTAGACCATAGCCTAACTATTGATATCTATCCAGTGGTGCCTACGGGAATACAGCTCACAAAAAATTTGATTATGTATTCCACTGATCATCATTCCTGGGTGTATAAGGAAAACCAACAATGGAAAACTATTGACATGTTTCGATGTGTGCCCCTTGACAATTTGGGATATCTGTGTGAGGATCAAAATTTACAAGAAATTGTAAAAGACAATTCTGTGTAAAAGACAAAGGAACCCAAAGATGTATGTTTGACATATTCACTGAACAAAAGTCAGCTGTTGTATATGCAGGAAAGGGATGTGTATGTGTGAGAAGTCATTGTCCAATTGTAGTATTAAGGTATAGTTAAGCAGGACTCAGGTTTCAAGCCCTATTCCTTTTGCCCGAGGCCCTGCTCTAGAGCCAAGCTCCACTCACACACACACACACATTGCCCAGGGCCTGGCAAAGTCTGGCACAGGGAGTCAGGTGGGTGTAAAGATGTCATGTGGCCAGTGACCCCTTTGTATCCCTCTTTACCAGTCACCTAATGCAGCAACCCCCAAATTATTCGGAAGAAACACCTACATTGTGCTGCAATGCTAATTTACCTCTCTAGTTTGACACCCTCAGGATCTGACCAGTGCTAAACCAAATATTTTACCAAACCACAAGAAGTCAATATTGTCTAGCAGCATTACCAACACTTCCATTGCTTACTGGGCTCTCAGAAGACATTTAGGGATAATTAGAGCCAAATAAGAGCACAGAATATTGAGAGTCAAGAATTGTGGCTGTAAATAAACTTTATGGGACCACAGGAAACTTGGCCACACCCATGATAAGTGGACATCTAGTTAACTAAAATCATGCCGGACTACAGATGTTGACAGACCAAAGTGTGCTGGACTAGAAAGGTTCAACCTGTAATATGTAATACTGTTTTTTCTTAGTCCTCCCCTTGCGCCCTGCCTCCCCTCGTCAAATCCATGGCTCATAGTTAAAAATACTCACTGATGTAAACTTTGATGATTATTTTCAACAGTGATTATTTTCAACAGGCTTTT